CGTGGTGGTGCACGCCTTTAACCCCAGCACTCGGGAGGCTGAGACAGGAGGACTACTGTGAGTTCAAGACCAGCCTGGGCTACACAGTGAGTTCCAGGTCAGTCTCCACTACATAGTGAGACCCTGTCTCAAATCTCCCCCCACCAATTTTTTTTTTCTGTACCAGGAATGGAATTGGGAACCTTGAGCTTGTGAGGCAGGTGGCGGCACCACTAAGCTAAATCCCTGGCTCGTTTTACAAATTTAGAAACTAGGATCGGTGATTTCCCAAACCACACAGGTGTCACACAGGCCACAGGTGCGATGGGTGAACAAAAATAGGTCTTCACACCAAATCCATCCTGGAACCTAGCATCAGGAATTTAAAACTGTTGTATGGGGTGGGGGCATGAATGTGAATATTTTGTTCTATTTTATTACAGCAAGAGAGAGAGAGAGGGAGGAGAAGGGAGAGAGGGAGGGCAAGGGGAAGAGAGATATTTTAAAAATGTTACATCTATCTATCAATCATCTATCTGTCTGTCTAGCTGCCTATCAGTTATTATCTATTTTCTGGCAGTGTCAAGGATTCCTTATTACAGGTTCAATATTCATTACCTATACGCTTCCTAATTAAAAAATACTGTGTATGTGTGTTCCTGTGTGAGGGCCCATAGCTTTAATTAGATTTTCGAAAAGGTACTTCAGGGAGTAACAAGCCAGTGACTTCACAGGCACATTCTGTATGGATGTATGCGTTCTCTGTCTGTCTGTCTGTCTGTCTCTCTGTACCATCTGCTGACCTATCATACACATATGTTATTTAAATTATATACATTTATAACAATATATTACTCATAATATTAGGTATTTGAATTCAGGTTAGAAATTTTAATCTTTTTCATTACTTCTTAAAATTCTTTGTATTTCAAGTGACTTTATAAAATGGAATATCCTACTATATTCATCTGTTTCTGTATTGTTGAATATTTAGCTTGATCCCAGTGTGCTGCTGTATTATTACAAAAGATCAATGAGTAAGTTTCAATCAGTCTGAAATTTAGGTTAATTCCTTATTTGAAATTCCCAGCCATGCAATTCCTGGGCCAAAAAGTGGGTATTTTTTATGTTGCTTAGTTAATATTGTGAAACTGTCTTCCAGCAAATTTACCTCAATCTAAAATTCCACCTTGGTGTCATGAAGTGCCTTCTCCTAATGCACCCGCTAGCTCTGTGTCGATGGTTTTACCTTTTCATCCTTCCTGCTGACCTTGTGGATTAATTTTTATCTTCCTTTTGTAGCCGAGGAGCTGGAATATAATGTTTGACTCAAGAATTAAAACGCAGTTTTCCTTGCCAGCCAAGTATGCCATTAGGAACATTAGAACGCAAAAACACAAATTTCATCAGAAGACTCAAAGAAAAGCTCCTTATTTTGCAAGTTTTGAAGACTGACAGGATAGCGCAGGGGAGCGCGGACTCACACAGCGGGGAATAGTCTCCTCCACGGTCCGGTACTGGTACTGGCCTGCAAAGGAAGTACAGCCAATGTTACTGCGTCCCCGCAGCAGGCCACTCGACACGTGGAAAAGACTGGGCCTTCATTTCTCCCCGGAGGGCTTGTGCTCCTCTCTCTTAACTTTCTTGACCGTAACTTTTCAGAACCGGAGTCCACCTTTCCCTTCCCATCCTTTGCAAAACCATGGACTGATAAAGGAGGAGCGAAAGGCAGACTCAACCAAAATGGCAACCGTGCAGATGGACGGGGAGGGGGGCGCTTGCACAGCAGGTTCAGTTCTCCCAGAAAGAGACGTGGCGCGCGGGAGCCCCTCCATCTCTGCCCCCAGAGCCATGGCTTGTTCAGGTATAAGCAGAGCTCTACCCCCGCCGCACAGACTGTAAGTCCTTTGACAGCAGGGTTCCTATCCCTCCATCCACCCAAGTCACAGGCCCAGGCCCAACTCCCAGTATGGAGAAGCCAAGATGTGTTCTTGACCCCAGCTTACTAAGTGAATACTGTACAGTTGCAGTAACAGTTTCTTAACCCTCTTCTCTCTCATTTGGACTCATTTTATGAAAGACTGCCTGAGGTCACGCATCCCTCTTAGCATTCAATTTTAAATTTTACTTCAGTTTAGACAAAACCACTACAACTGCTCCAGTGGCTGTGTGCTCTTTTGAATCCTTATAGACCTGATATTTCTGAACTGCATTGTACTTTTGTGCTATCAGTCTGCATCGAGGAACATTAAGTGCAGAAAATATTCTTGTCACCTTCTCTTTATGAACACACAGGTGAGAAGTTTCTGTAGGACACAACACTTTCCCTCTTTGGATGCTGAGAACCCTCTGGACAGATTTCTGGGGCGTGCCTAGCCATTGTGGAGGAGCGGGTTGTGACTTTCTTCTGTATCTTGCTCTATCTTCCGTAGAGCTTTTGTCCTTTCACCCTGACTTCCCTGACCACCCCTAGGATAGAGGTGTGACTTTTATAGGGGGCATTGATGAGAAGTGGCTCGTTGGAGACGTCCTGCACTGGCATTTGCCTAGCACTACTGCATGAGGAAGTGTTAACTAGCCAGAGTGATTACCCTGAAACAATGAGCCCGGAGGGGTGAAACTACCTGCAGTTCCCCTCCCAGCCCTTCCTGGAGATAGGACCAGTCACCAGCACTACCCTGGGGCAAGAACGACAGCTCCTGGTCCCAGCACCACTGAGCTCCCTGGGAAAGGGGGTGCGAGTTCTCCAGCCTCCCGGGTGAGCGTCTCAGTCTTTCGCCTAACTGGAGATCACACCACCAGTGAAGGGCCTGGAGGATCAAAGGGGCACAGCGTTCCTGGGGCTTCTCTCTGGCCCTTCTTACCCAGGAAGCAGCCCCCCTGTCTAACTTGGGGTTCAGTATAATGTCACTGTGGGAAACTGGCCTCCTTCAGTGTGACCATTCTGTAAATGTCCCTCCAGGCACCGTGGTGGTTTTTGCTCTCACTGAGGACCACAAGTCCTCCCCTGGATCTCTCAATGTCTCTCTGTCCTTTCTGTCTCCTTGTGTCCATCCTACCTGGGCTGCTTGCCCTTCTGACCTCCCCTTTGCTCATCAGTTGCAATGCCCAGTGTCTTTCAAGGCCTGATGTCCCTGCTCCCTGGGGCTCCCCTTCTGGACTGGTCCAGGCCACATGAATCCCACTCAATGGGCAGAGCCTCTATTTCTTGTTCACTCACCATGACACTTAAAAATAGGCAGCATCTGGTGACTTCTTTGTCGTGTATACACTGTCCTTCTTTGGGGAAGGACTTGTCCTTTATCTGTCATTTCCCAGACTTCCTATCCGTGTTATCCTCAGGGCAGAGTGCAGGTATATAATTTTAGGCATAATTCAAACACTGCACATCCATTTGTGCCCACAAGGTCTGGCCCAGATCCCCAGAGCCCAACAATCTGCTCTTGCCTTGGTGTCCACCTTGCTCCTCCCAGTTTGTTTTGACAAAGATTCTGTCCCGAGTCCAATCCCAGGCTGGCTCTTCCTCTAACCCCTGTTTCCACCAGGCCCTCCCCTCAGGCTTCCGTGTCTGTCTCTGCTTTGTCTCTTTTTAGCAGGAATCCTAGTGGATGAGTTTAGCCAGAATCTCCCACCTCCACATCTGATGCCCATCTCTGTCTAGCCGGGTCGTTACCCCACTCCTTCCTGCAGATGACATCCACTTTCACCAGAACCATCACTCATCCCCAGCCATTCCTCATGGTAACTTTCCACTCTCTGACCCCAACACTGTTCCTTGGCTATCAGTTCCCACTTTTCCTTATTGTACTCGGTGTTGAGCTCAATCTCCCTTCTGTACTGCAGATGCCCACTGGATTGGTCCCTGTGCTTATCTTGATGTCCTGAATGAAGTCGGCCTTTCTCTGTAACAATGTCCAGAAGTTTTCTCTTTAACACTTCCTCCTTTCTCAATTCTGGCTCTTTTTAAGTCTCTGCAGCACACTTAGCACATGCTGTCCATCTTTCCAGAAGGCTCTTTCCTTAGCTCTGCCTGGACCCATTCCGACCTTCGGGTCACACTTGGAACATCATCCCCAGGTGCCTTCCCTGAGCCAACCTCAGCTACAAATCCAAGGGGACCTTTCTCTTTTGGTTCCTCACACCGTGAGTGCCTGGCCTTGCAGTGTGCTCACCAGACCCCATCTCCTTTCCCGTGCTCCTGTGCTTGGCTCCTCCTGGCTCCTCCCACACTGGGTGGGCGTGGTATTGCTGAAGCTGCTGGGACCCTGCCCATGTGGTGAACCCCATCTCTGCTCACCTGCTGAACCCTGTTTTTGTTCTGGTTCAGTCAATGCCTTGTCAGACAAAGTGGACCTCAGGGTCCTCTGGGATAATGGAAGCTATTGGGTAAAAGAAGATGTTTGGAAACAGATCTCCTTCAATTCTCCATGCTAGATGTGGTGGGAGCAAGAAATCTTCATTTTATTTCACCCCAACATATATTCATTATATGTAGATGTTAGTCCTGCCTAATTAAGAAATGCTTTTTAGTTTCTCCATGGCATCTAGGAACAAAGACAATCAATACATTATATAGTTGCAGACTCTGGTGTCTACCTCCCCAAACCCATGGCAAGATTTCAGGTTTGTTATCACTCCGGTAACCAAGTAGTACTGAGAAAGGCACATGGTAAATGCACAATGAGTGAGTAGTCAGCTATCAGAGATAGCATAGGGCACAATGGAAAAACTTCAGAAATGGGAACCAACAGCAGAATTTCAAGTGGATCCTGGTTTCCTCTGCTACTGAGTGAGCTTGACCTTGACTGACCCCTCCTCTTGCTGCAGCTCACCACCTAATGGCCCACCCACACCTGTCCAGGTCTTTGCCTCTTCCCGGAATTGAAATCGGTGCTATAGTTCAGATCATGAATGTTACCCAAAGGTGCATGTGTGAAAGGCTTGGCTGCCATCCTGTGGTATTACTACAGGGTGGAGGAACCTTTAGGAGGTGGGACCTAGTGGAAAGAAGTTGGGTCATTGGGGATGTACCCTGAAGGGGATATTGAGACCTCAGACCCTTCCTATTTCTCTTCCTGCTTCCTGGCCTCCATGAGGTAAGCAGCTCTGACCTACCACACCTGTCCCTCCACTATGATTCTGTGTCTCCACAGAATCCAAAAGCAATGCAGCCATTTATGGTCTGAAACCTCTGAACTATGAGCCAAAAGAGTCTATTCCTCCTTTCATGATTATCTCAGGTATTTTGTCATAGTGCTGGAAAGTTGACTAACATATTTTGTGAAAAGGAAATTGTTCTGCAGCTCTCCCCGTGTCCTCTTGCAAGAGCTCTTAGCTATGCTGGGGATCTATGGAGAGTCACTTGTCACCTACAGGAACCAAACAAAACAACTGGCTCTGTTTATCCCTTGAGGAAACATCCTCCTGCAAGCCTAGCAGGCCTTTTCCAGTTGTTCAGAGAGAAACGAAGATGAGTACATGTGGTGTAAATGCTGTGGGGGCATGTGGACAGGCAGCAGGCGGTTACCCACCCTGTGGGCACCAACTTGGATACCCGTTCTCCTGCCCAGAGGGGCAGAGCCAGGGAAGACAAATACATGGCGCATGCCCAGCATGCTGAGATCATCTGATCATGGCCACCAGGTTCATCTGTGCTAATTAAAAAATAAATGGAAAGACAATAAAATCTGGGCCCTGGTATAAATGTGTGGAATCTGCTTTTGCCACAAGTCTGAGGTGATAGTCATGGATCCTAAACTTTGAGAACCAGAGACCTAGATGCTGCCACCCTCTGCCAATGGCAAGTGGGCCATGTGAGTAAGACCTAGAGACTCGGGTTCTTCTCATTTGTAAACACTTCTGGGAGCTCAAGTCTCGGAGTTACAAGGCTGGTGACACTGTCCACACCTTCACTTGATACCTTAACATGGGCACCCCAGCCGGCTGAGCCCTAAGTGCAGTTGCCATGGGATATTAACTTCGAAGGAAGTCACAGACTGTCAGGTTTGCCAGCAGGTCCCTTGATGGGAACGTGGTTATCTGGAGAGAAGCACAAGTTAGAAGCCTGCAGAGCTTAGAGCCCTCTTTCTACAGGCAACGGAGGCAGCAGATTTCCCAAGGCAGACAGGTTTCCAAAGCAACACTGGCTTCCTTTTCCATTTCAGCGAGAAGAGAAGAATTGGATGCTGGCAAAGAAGTATGGGGATGCCCAGGTTAACCCCATTCCAGGCTGCCAGCTGGATTTCCTCTTCGACGTGTGGTGGAATTTGAGGGGCCAGTGACTCTCATCTGCAAACTCTAAGGACCCTGTGGAAAGCTGTGTCCCCCTGGAATCCATTCTCCTCTTCTCAGCTGCTCGATATCGCCTGGATCACGTCAGCCTTGCTGTTAGTAGGGCTGTTAAGTTCATGCTTTGGCCAAGAGGATTGAAGTAGAAAATCCACTCACAACTTCTGGGAAACTTTCTGAAGTGGCTGTTCACTTTTTCCCTTTCCTTATTTTCTTCTTCTATCTCACTGTGTGGAACACTGTTGTTGGTTTTAGGCTGTAGGGCTGTGGCCAGTACAAGGGATGGAGGACAAAGACAGTAGTGTGGCCCACAGGCCTTGGACATCTTGCTTTAGGGCTTGCCTGCCACAAGGGAGGGAACAGCTCCATCCTGGTCCAGCCCCATGGAAGCCATGATTTCTGGTAACACAGCAGAGCTGCAGATCAAAGTTTCCAGGGGCTGAGGGTGTGGCTCAGTGATGTGGAAGGGAGGACAGAGGCAAGGGCAACATGTATTTTGCAGGGGCCAAATGTGCAGTTCTGGGTTCAAGTTCTGACGTGTCACTTTCTGACCTTGTGGCAAATCTCAACACTTGCACACCTTGGATAACTGAACAGGTTTAATGGCATCAGTCCCAAGTAGCAGTTGAAAAGTTCTGGTCAATGGCCTCTCAGTGGCAAATCAATTCACAGTTTCACCCTGGCTTGGTGCTCACGAACAAGAAGCTTGGTTCTCTGTTTTTTCAAGTTCAACTTAACCAGATCTTTCTCACTCAACCCAAATCTTCAGCACTGCTTCCAAGTCTACAATGAGAGCCTTTTCACTATTTAGCTCTCAGCAAAATGTGTGGTTTTTGCGGTATCCTCCTGCTGATACACAAGGGTTCATGGAGCTGTGTCCTCTCCAGCTGTGAAGCTCGGGGATTCAGTAGCCCATCATCTGGGTGAATCCTCATTTCACCGTGAAAGACTTTAATCTCAGCACCCCAAGGCTGAGGCAGGAGGATAGCATATCTGAACTCATCCTGTGAAACTTGGTGTCTTAGCAAGTCTGTCTCTCAAAATGGAAAAAAAAAAGTCAAATCATATAGCTCAGTGTGGAAGCCCTGGTTTCAAACCCCAGTATCAAGAAAAAAAATAAAAAAGGGAAAAGACAGGCCAAAGTTAATTGGCATACTACTCCAACAACTGCACGGCAGTGGGTTTGTGTTCTGTTATGCCTATTTCATTCCAACCCCTTTAACTTCTCTTGGGCTCACTTTACTTAAAGCCCAAACTTTACAACTAAATGAAACACAAGGTGACATGCCTAGCACCTGCTAGAAACTCAATGTATATTAGTTTCTTAGATAGATAGATGATAGATAGGTAAGTAGATAGATAGATAGACAGATAGATAGTGCTTTCTGGTTATTTCAGTTTTATTTGCTGAACCGAAATCTCCTGACCTGAGATTATGAGCTGATCATTCTAAGTCACAAATAGCTATGGAGGAAACAGTCATTGAGAACTGGGAGAAGCTTCATGCTCTCCCTTGTAAGTTCACATTCCTTTCTCTAGACCCTAATTCCTTCTCTGTAAAACACAGTGTCATTTTAACCTTGAGCCCTTGAACGCTTACATTTTCATTTTCCTTTTTGTGAAATATGTGCCAAAGCTGGCTGTCATATCTGCCACTTTAGGGACTGGCTACAAATTGGCTGAAGGAGTGGGTGAGGGGGAGGGAGCTGTCCCCACCCACTCCCCAGTCCCCAGCTGCTCAGGACCCCAATGAAACGCCCCGAAGCCCCTGTGGTCCAGACATGGACAGCAGCTTCCTGGTCTTGACAGCTCTGAAGAACATTCTAGAATGACCTGAATTGGATGTATCTCGTTAAAAATAAGGTTCCTTGTCGTCTCACAATCTACTTTCCAAGGCATAAACCCAGGGCTGGGTATGAGGATAAGCATCATTGTTGCTGGGACTCTGATGTACACTGACTTTTGAAGACAGTCATTGGTTCTTGGGTTTGTACTCCTGGGAGGACGTAAAATCCTGACTTGTGCTTACAAGAACTTGGTGAGGGCTTTGTCCCAGCAGTTGGATGTCTTGGGGACTATCTTGCAACTTCTACAAACAGCCAGCAGGGGGCATAGAACACTCACATATTCTTTTCCTGCCTTTCCTTCCTCCTGTACTAAAATCTTTATTCATTTTTCTTTCAAAAGTGGAAGGGGGGATAAAACTGAACCTTTAAGACTCTTTTCCTTAGAAAACTAGAAAAAAATCAAATGTTGTAGGACAATTTCTTATCTCTTTAATCGAATCAGCCAACATCTGTCTGTCTTTATCAAGGTTTTTATCGTATACACTGACTTCAGACAGAAGGGCCGGTGTTCTAAAGAAGGCCAGCTTCTTTAATTTCATACTCTATTCAGTGGAAGGAGAAAAACCTCTGAGTTTACATTATGGAAAATGCAGCAGTGCTCTTTCTGTGGGACCCTCAGAGAAGGTGTTGGTGGACGTGGGAGTCCAAATATGTATCTGTCTTTTCCAGCTCTTGGCGCATCTTATTTTTTAAGAATTTATTTTTTGATTGTACATGTGGCTGTAGAAAAATTAGAAGGTACGGATATGCAATAAGGAAGAGAATAAATATCTCACCATAGCAAAACAACCACCAAAAAATATGCAGTTGTAGCCAGGTCACATGCGCACCCACGCATCTACACACACGCGAGTGTATGTATATTGGATCACACTGTGCACACTGTTTTCTTGCATGCTTGTTCAGGAAATAACACGCTGCCCACACATCCACGCTGAGGAACAGGCTTCAACATTTCAATGGCTGCAAAGCATTTTCTCATATAGTTTACAACTAATCCTATAAAATTTGTAACGTAGGACATCTAGGAATGTACATATCCCTGTGGTGGACGCTCTTTGATGTGAATCCGAGGCCATGCCCCTAATTATATTTGCTATGTTACATTCTCCAAGACTCTCCCTGGCCCGTAGGTCTGCATAGGTGGGGGTGTCGTGATTTGCTAAGTATTTCTGTCAGGGAATAGATATATGTGTGCTGGGCAGGCCCAGGCAGCGCCATTTTAATTGGCTTTGGGAGTGTTTTGATTTGTTTTCTCTTCCTTACTGGTGTTTCTAGAATGTTGTTAATGCAATGCAATACCCACCTGTCGGGTTCTCTCTGCTATAACCGAGGATGGGAGCAAGGTGGAAGGGAGACGTGTGTGTGAGGTACAGCTGGGAGCTTTGTCTCACCCATCTGGTTTCTAAGGCACCAACCAAAGTCTCAGATGAGCGACTTTGTTCCGAGGCACGACGGCCTTTAGAATTCCCTGCAGTGCCCTTTCAGACTCAGTGGGTTGTGGGAAAAGATGAGAAAGGGCAAGGTAGGTGGTGCATTTGAGACCAAAGTATCTGCCTCGAGAGAATGTATTTTGTTAGCTCCAACTGGGAAGTTCATTAGGAATGTTTTCTGGAGGAGGGATCAAAGCTGGGTGCCCGTCCTGTTTAAATTCATACTTTGTGGCTTTGCCTTTGCCTGATTCTCCTCCAACACATGCTGAGTGCTATGTTATGAGAGGAACCAAAAGTACCTGCTGCTCACACAACTGCCCGTGACTCTGACACTTCCTCTGGGCTACCACTGAGTGTTTGTGACTTGTTTGGGTCCTCAAAGCTAGCTGCCAGCTTTCTGGTAAGTTCTATGGGGTTTTCCCTGAAATCATAATCCATGCCCCAAACCAATGCACGCTCTCACTCACACGTTAACCAGTTCCTAGGAAATGTCTAGGGCAATTGGCTCTGAAAAAGGAAAGGAGAGAAGCATAAAATGTGGTTTCTGGACCACTCAACTCGTATTTTTGGGAAACCTATGATAATTAATTTCATCGAACGAAGGTCCAAAAGTGGTCCCATTCCTGGCTCTCAAGCACATTCACACCCACTTCATGAGGCCCGGACTCAGGCTTAGAGGCAGGAGTGGAGCTCACTGGTTCATCAGAGGCTGTACAACTAAAAAAAAAAGTGGGAAGCCAGGATTCCCGCCTGCTCCCAGAGTGTGTGCGAGTCCCAGGCCTGTGGAACCTTGGGGGCAACTGGAGGGAAAGACTGCACTTAACAGCACCCTGAGGATCAGGCTGGCGATTGTATCAGCCCAAACATAGCCATCAAGAGGCAGAGTCCGGTTCCCCGCCTTGATCTCAGGCTGCCGTTAATGACCGCCTTGCAATCAGCAGAACGCACTGGGAATGGTGGGTGGTGTGAGACTTCAGTAGCCAGGGCAGAGAGGCTGGCAGTTTCTGCCGTGGTCTCCCGGGACACTTGCTCTCTGGCTTCTCCTTCTTGGGATGATCCCTCTGTACTCCTGGTCACCTATCCGTGATGAGCCCAGCCCAAGTCAGCAGGCCGGCCTCCTGACTGTCCACACCCAGGCTCCAGCCTGAGTGCTCCAGCCAAGAGGCCCCCAGCTGTCTGATCACTCACAGCACAGCTGAAGTCCAGAGACCACAGAGTCTGCGGGCACAGCTGCTGTCTCTGCCTCTCAGGGCTGCACTGCAGAGCCCACCAGCACAACAGGGTTTGTGTTGCTTCTGCCACACACACACAAGGGAGGGAAAAACAGGAAAGCATGGACAAATGGCCGGACAGACCCACGCCAATACTTCCATCGCACAGAGGACAGGAGGCCTGCACTCACCTGTGGCACTACTGACGGGTGGCCATGACCTAGGAGAGAAAGGAGAGCCAAAGTCAGCACCAGCTGCGAGGTCACCAGCCTCCTGAGAAAGGGTGGCCGGTCATCAAAGGCCATTTCACCATCTGCTTACGCTTATGTTACTACAGACAGGAAGTAAGGCATTAATACAACAGAAAAAAATTATGTAGAGGGAAAAATCACCACTTCCTTTCTATGATTCTGCAATCACACATGTATGTATGAAGAAACATGCATGTAATTAAACATACACAGCATATGTATACAACACTATAGAAGAACGATTCGACTCCTTTTACAAACACATCCTGTATCTTTCCATCTTATTAAAAAGCATAAAGTGTGTTGGTGGAATGGTATTTTGGAGGGGGAGTCAGGTCTTTGCTAGTTTTGACTATTTTAAATAACAGAGAAATGTTTACCCACGCTCTACTTTAAATTCCATTTCTGAACATTTTCACGGGTGTCTTCAGTGCAGTGAGGGGCTCAGATGGTGTGGAGAGGGTATGGCCTCTCGTTCGATGCTTCTCAGTTGCTTCTTGTATGTATCAATTCATATTAATTTATATTGTTACCCTTACTGTGTGAAATCCAAACACTGATCCCACATTGCCTGCTTAGCACTCGATTCCCTATTTGACCCGCTTCATTTCCCAAAGACTAGTGAGATTGCATTATTGTCACTATCACTTTGAAATCGTTTTGGGCCATTTGCATTTCCTCCGTACATGTCTTTTATCCATTTTCCAACGGCAACTTAACATAGCCGGAGCATCCATCTTGGATGGTGTGCTCTTGGGAGCAGCTTTTCTCTAGGTTTCAGGCACTGATCTGAGAGCCCCAGGGAAATGGAAAGCTCCTAAGGACGCTGCTTCCCTGAGCCAACTTGTTTGCACCTTTAATAACTGCTGGCCCTCGCAGCATACCTTCCCTTCGAGGCTCTCGAAATGCGTCACAGGAGCAATTAATTGAACATCGCAACACACAGCAGGTGTAAATATTTACAAGTTCTATTTGGTGGCTGGGATGTCAGGCACACAATAGTTAAGCAGTGAGGTTTTCTTACCCAGGACCACAGTTAACCCTGCCGGTTTCTCTGCACCAATTTAATCCTCAAAGTGTCCTTGCGAGGTAGCTGTTACTGTCTCCTTTACAAAAGAGGAAATGGCACTCCCAAAGCTCAACTCATTGCCCGACCCAGCCACTAAGAAGAGGGTCTTGCCACCAGCCTGTCTGCTCCTCCCAGCCTTGCTGTCCCCGTTTTTTATCGATAGGAAGTGGCAAGTCCTGCTCTGCAGGCACCATGCAGCTGTGGCCTCAGAGCCCTTGTGGTTGGCAGTTGGCACCCTTTCAGGTTGCCTGAGATTCTGCAGAAATTAGCAGTAAATCAACCAGCAAGGAGCAGATCATCTATCTGGGGCTGTGAGCTCTCTCCTGACACCTTAAACAGATGGCCTCTTCCCTGACATCCTGGTCTTTGATTAAGGCCTCAAAAGGCTCCAGACTTGCAACTCATGACATGTGAGAGGGAAATGGTATGTGTGTGAGCTCACTCCAAGTGGGGAAAGCAATCCCTATGACAGAAGGTGGCGATGCCTATGTGGGCAGCCTGGGAGTCCCAGCCCAGGGACTTTGAAGACAAGGCGAAGTTTTCCAGACATTGGAGCAAGAACTTTGGCCTTTATACTGACGCTCCGACACTGGCCTCATGGATTTCAGAATCAAAAGCACATTGGGGGGCCGGGGATTTAGCTCAGTGGTTCTGCCGCCTACCTCCCAAGTGCAAGGATCCGAGTTTAATCCCCAGTTAAAAAAAAGAAAAACACATTGGAGAAAAAGTGGTCTAATTCATTAGTTTCACAGGAGGGACAACTGCGCACTGCAGTACCAGAGGGATCTCCTCCATCTCAGACTCCTGCAGGCAGAGCTGGGAATGGTAGAACCCAAGCGAGAAGAAAAGAACCAGTATTTTTCAGCATATATCTGGGTAGTGATCTAGGCTCCACTGTACCTGGAACTGTTTTTTAGTATGCCAATTGGGCCCAATTATATTTATTTTCACAATTCCTGTTCTTCTAAGTTCGATATTCTCTAAAGTTATTTTAACGTACCGAAAGTTTCACAGAATTAACGCATACAGCTTGATGTGTTTAGTGTAAGTATATACCTGGGAATGGACAAATACTAGCTAATAGCGTCTAAAATAGAAGAGTAGAAAGGCAGTCGCCAAGGTTTAAGGGGAGAAGGGACAAAGGGGTCAAAGGGTTCTAATAGGGCTTAGATATCTACGGGGCAGCAAGGTGCCTGAAGTTAAAAATATCGTATCGTATAATTAAAATCTGCTAACAGGACAGATTCAGTGTTAAATGTTCTCATTGCGACACAAATAGGGAGAAGAATGTTTTGGAGATGCTGGAAAGGCTTGCGGCAGGGATGTCAGCCTGCAGGTATTCTGATTTCCACTTTGCAGATGCAACTAAAACTTCGAAGAGTCAAGCCACTCGCCCATGGAGCCGCAGTGGCGGGTTTGGTGTGACTCTAAGTCCCTAGTCACAGCCGCTGCAGAGTGGCCTGTGTTTGGGTGCCTCCGCTGCATTGCCCAGGCTGTCCGAAAGCGGCCTGTCTGATGTAGTCTTCCTCTCAGAGGCGACCCAAGTGACGCCACTCCTTTGCATGTCATATCCTCTGGGATTACGCACCCCGGGGCTCTCTGTGCGTCAGTGCAGCCAAATGAATTAGCAGAGGAAGCATCAACAAAACATGGAGCTGTTGCTATTCCAGCTGAGCCCGCTGCTGTGAGCCAGGGAGCTGGAGAAACAAAGGGGGAGGGAGAAGAGGAAGGCCGGCTCTGGCCCCACCTGCGCACCTAGGTTTGGTCCGGCTGGAGCGTGGACACCTTCTCGACACCAGCCCCTCACAAGCTGTCTGGGAAGCTTCTTGTGTTAATGCCGTTGCTTTCCAGCCTGACAGCCCAGGGTGATGAATGGAAGACGCTGCTGGCAAACTTCATGGAGACTCGATAGGCTCTATTCGTGCTTCAGCGAGGCCTGGGCATTAGCAAGCTGCCTCTTGCTAACAAGCTGTGCCCCGGCTCCCTTTTGTCAACAGCATCAGTGACACGGCCACATGTGGACGGTGTCCTAGGTCCATATCCCTGTTCCCCTTCCCATCAGTGCCTCTTCTCTCTGCATTTCCGGTGCGGACAGACAAGTGTCAACATTGTCACAGGGAGGAGGTACATGGAGTTTGAAAGGAACCGGGCTGACCAGTCAAAGTCTGTGGTCTTCAATATTTAAGGCCCATGACACATATAGATTTTATTTTTTATTTTTATTTTTTTGTTTTGTTTTTGTTTTTTTGAGTCAAGGTCTCACTGTGTAGTTGAGACTGACCTGGAACTCACTACATAGCCCAGGCTGGTCTCGAACTCACAGCGATCCTCCTGACTCAGCCTCCCGAGTGCTGGGATTACAGGCATGCACCACCACGCCCAGCACATACAGATTTTAATTCTGAAGCATTTTAATTGTTTAGTACCCAAATAATACACTTAATGATTTTTAATTTTTCAAGGATACTAAAGGACACCCCCCCACTTCCGGGAAGAACCGTTTCCGGTGACGCAGCTAATGTGTGCTTGCGTCCCACTTGTCCATAGGAACAAAGTTGAGAGGATGCATTATTCTGGTCCTTATAGAGATGGACCCGGATGGTCTCCAGGGCCAAACTGCTATCACGGAGTCTGGTAACTCGGCGCACCCAGGAGGGCAGTGTGCGGTCCCCTCGGGTCTCCCCAGGCGCCGGAGCATACAGAATTCGGAAACCCCTGAGAAATAACCTGGGTGACTTCACACGTCAGCCTCCTCCTTCCTCAAACCTCCAGGACGAAACCTCCGCAGCGCCTTCTCAGCTCTGCCCCTGAACTTGAAAGGCCATCCTGGAGCTACAATGTCCTACTTTTGGAAAGACAGCTGATATTTTTGGCAGTTATTCAGCTCATTTTAGATACAGAGAGAAACGAAGAAAGATGCAGGATTGCTGAGTTCATTCCTCCTTTCTTTCGCCTCTGAGGTCTGCTGCTTAATTCAGAACTGAGCACAGACCTCATGATTGCTTTTGGTGGGCAGCATCTTTATCTCCATTTGGGGCTTTCATAGAATTCTAGTGCCGAACAAGACGATGAATAATACGCACCATCCCTTTCGTTTTGCCTGGAGCCAGGACCTGTGGAGTCTGTGGGGCCAGGAAACACCCAGCCTGGCGCCCAGTGCCCACGGTGCCACTCTCCACCCCTAGGGGGAGCTCGTGTGCTTCCGGGAGGTGTGGGGCAAGCAGTGGACATGCGCAGTGGCCCAGAGGGGAGGGCCCGAAGGCTAAATTGGGCGAACCCTGTCCTGGGTCAGTGTGATGCTTTGCAAAGCTCATGAATAAAGGATGCGCAGAGCTGCGTCTAGAGGGGCGATGTAGGAACACAAAATTGATCGGAGAGGGAAGAACTAGGGATTGCAACAGGCCAAGGAAGAGCGCATGGTGACCGGATGTGGAGTTTTTCTTGCTTTCCACCGTCTCTGCCCCCGCCTGGGCGTGTCTTTCCGATCCATCCCCACCCGGGGCACTAGGACACAGTGCAATTGAATCCTCAGACTTCCACGCTGGGAGACAGAACGCACAGGGTTCCGGGGAGCATGCGTGGGGCTTCCCACGAGGGAGATGGCCCGGAATCGCGCAGGCCAAGTTTGGTCCCGACTTAGGAAGCCAACAGAGCATCCCCCGAGATTTCCCCGAAAGAGGTTCCCAGTGTTCCGTGCAGATTGGAGGTTGGAGGGCATCTCCTGAACCCTTGTTCCTTTGAAGCAGAGGAAATTCACTCTGAGGTAGAATAGGGACAAAGTTCATATGCAATAAGTGAGCAAACGAGTCCACCTTTCTTTTCTTTCTTTCTTTTTTTTCTTTTTTTTTTTTTGTACTGGGGATCAAAGTCAGGTCCTTGTGCTTGCAAGGCAGGCGGCGGAACCACTGAGCCAAATCCCTGGCCCAGAGTCCACCTTTCTTAAAGGCATTCCCGATCGGTTTAAGAATTGTCCTTGTTTCAGGTGACACATAAAACTTGTGCATAGGTATGACTATTCTGAGACATGCGTCTCATACAATGTTTGAGCACCTTTCTCCTCCTATTATTTTTATAAAAATTACTTAGGCCATGAAAAGCTCTGCAGGAGCCCTTGGGGATAGCTCTACAAGTGCTCGGGTCACCTTGAGCTTATAAAGCTTACACTCAGAGGCCCAGCCCACGCCCGCTTCTCCCCTGCCCTTCCAGCCCCGTCTGGAACCCTCCTCCCCTGAGTTCCCAGGAAGCCTCCTGCTCCAGCAATGTGCATAGTCAAGCTGGAAGGCTGCGTGTGATTATTAATTCATAATTTATCGAGTATTGATAAATTTTCATCTCTTCCAAGACGGGCAGCATGTCTGTGAGCTAGGGTCTTCTTCAGATATGCTATTGATGCCCCTGACAAATATTAAAAAGTGAAAATGAAATTGGGCATTTTGGTGGATTCTAAGGCAGACAAGGGAGTGAGCAGGATGAGTTGTTTTGCCAGGGGCAGGCAGGGGTCCCAAATGCCCGCCACCTCTCTCTGACCTGCCTGCTTGGACTCTGGCTTCTATCTCCTCTTCCTTCTGTCCTCTTTCCCTGTTCAAGTACCTCTTGAAATCTGTAAGGAGTTGACACCTGCCAGGCCCTGTCAGAGGCTCTGGATACGGTTCCAGCTACCAGCATCCTCCATTCTCACCACAAACCCTGGTGAGCCCTGACTTTATTCCTTCTGAGGATCTGCTGTGGAGGCTCCCTTCGGGGATGACCAGAGGAGAGCTGGCAGATGCCCCACTGGGTTGCTGCATCCTTGATACAGCTCCCAGCTAGAGAGATCTTCCAGCAGAACATTTACCCTTCTGTGCAGTGAAGGGGGCCAGAGCCAAAGTGGCTCTGAGGGGCATCTGGGCTCTGAAGTCCCAGCAGGCCTGGCAAAGAGGAAGCAGGGAAAAGCAGGGTGTGCCTAGAGGCAGGGCCCAGCAGGGGGCGCCCCTGTGTCTGAACAGAAGCTGGGTCCTTCACAGGGCCATCACAGACCACAGTTTGCACTGTATCTGTGGGAGTGGGTGGGTAGTGGCTGCTCTGTAGCGACTCCTCCCTTAGGAGATTCAATTTATATATAGGTTCCCTCAGCATCTCTGTGCCCATTCCAGAATGCACGATACGCAAGTCTGGTATAAGAAATGGTGTGGTGTGTGCCTCACCTGTGGCACCTCCGGTGTACGAGAATACTAAAATATCTAACACAGTGTAAACACAATGCAAACAGTTGTGAGACTGTGTCCACTAGAGACAAAGGATGAGGGAAGTGTCTGGATATGCTTAGTGTAGACATAACTGACACTTTTCGATGTGTGGTGGGTTGACTCCACAGTGGACCTGGAACCACAGACATGGTGGGCCAACTATGTCCTGATATGTAAGGAGGTTCTGACTATGAGAACCCAGAAATGCTACTGACTTTGAATTTAAATCCAGTCATCACGCCTTCTGAGCTCTAGGACTGTGACCAGCACAAGTACTGCCTCTCAGGCTATTTTTCTTTATCAGTAAATGAGGGTTAAAGTCCCCACTCCCGCACATGTTGTAAGGGTGGGTGCCAAAGACCCTTCCCTCATGCCTGAGGGTGCTCAGGTACTGATCCTGTGTGGCCTCAGTGGAGTGCACCCAGTGGTGTGTTTCTGAGTCGCCGAATGCAGACTCAGGAAAGCAGCACAGAACAGAAGTGGATCTGGGGATTTAGCCACGTGAACACCACAGGACACTGTAGTCGGGTCCCAGGTTCAAGATGTAGAGATGATCTGTGTTTTTCCTGCAAAGCCTCCTGGGCTGTATCTTCTGAGCCACTCCTGCCCTCAGATAGCTCCTTGCTTTGTGTGTCACCAGGAGCCTGCTTCATGCACACCCGGCCCGTGACACCACGTGTCGCTTGTTGGGAGGGCAACGGCGCGGAGGGCCAGCATTGTTTTTCATATTAGTGTTAATAATCATCCTTATCATTTTCTGTGCCACAACTAGCTGGGTGACCACAGGGAACTTTCTCTGCTCCTTCTCTCCCGTGTAAGGGAGGCTAACAAGAGTGATGACTAGGACCCAGTGAGAGGTACCTAGTAAGCTTTTAGGATAACACTTAGTACCTAGTAGCACTCAGTGGGTGTCAGCCTTGGGTATTCACTGGGAACCCACAGAATTCCGGGCACCCCACCGAGGCCATTCACTCGTTCACCCAAAGGCAGGCACTGCTATGGGCTCAGGGGATTCTGGGATAAACAAGACCGTACTTGGATACAGCTGTCCCAGGCCACGCAGCCAGCAAGCAGGACAGCTGGGATTTCATCCCGGGCTCTGTAGTCTCTCGCTGCCTGTGACGCTGCCTGTGACGCCGCCTGCTCTACACTTCCGCCCCTGTCATTCCTATGCGGAAATGAATATTATCGGCTAAATAGTCATTAAGGTAGGAGAGTAACCCAAATGTATAGCTTTCAGGCATTTTGATTTGATTTATGTATCTCAGGCCGGGGATTTAGCTCAGCGGTTCGGTGGCCTGCCTTGCAAGCGCAAGGACCTGAGTTCAATCCCCGGTACCAAAAAACAAAACAAAACAAAAAGACACATATCTATATCTAGATATATCTCAAATGCTAATACATTCATATAATACTTTTAATACAAAATATGCAGAGGTACAGAGATTTATATGTATGTGGGAGTTTTAAAAAAGTTTTGGGTTTATAAATGGTTTGAAACAGGCTGCAGAAACATCGTCTGTTGCTCTCTTTAATACATCTTGAGCATGCTGTGACACATCCTGAAATAATTTGCTTCGGAGAAAAAAACATTGCTCTTCTCTCTCTGTCTTTTTCTCTCCCAAATGTAACTGTAAACACTACTTTGATGGGTTTAATCGCTTCAACCCTCTTCATTCGAAGAAAGGCTTCTAGCCCCTCCATTTCTCATGTTTTGCTTTTGTCAAGAAATGACAAGAATGGGCTTAGAACGCATTATTCAAATGTATTTAATATAAACATTAAAGAAGGCTGAGAACAGCCACACATTTTCCTTTGCTTGAAGTGGTTTAGAAAAATAATGTGAGTGCTGTGTCCGCTCCACCCTTACAGGAGTATTTCCTCTAGCGATTCCTGGGCCCACAGACTGCTCACAGTGCCCGGGTGTAGCTCGTCCTGAAGGGTGCTCCGTACAGTGCCTTGTGTTAAACTAAACTGGGGTGTGAGGATTCTTAAGAGGCAAGAAGCCTTGGCATCCCTGGAAAGACAGACCACGCCAGGTGGGTTGAGCAAAGGAGTCCTGGCCCAATGTGGGGAAGCCAGCTCTGAGGGATGGCTTGCTGCCCAAGGTAGGTTTTGTGGCCAGCACAGAGCTGGAATTGACTTTGGGTCCAGCTCCTTGTTGGTAATTTCAAGTTAGCCCATAATACTGAGCCTTTTGGTTTACCCATGAGCTGCTGCAGGGTAGGATGTGTTTGTCTCTGAATTTTCAGTATACTATGTGAGTCTTTTTTTTTTTTTTTCTTTTTTTTTTTGAGACAGAGTCTCACTATGTAGCTGAGACTGGCCGAGAACTCACTATGTAGCCCAGGCTGGTTTCAAACTCACAGCGATCCTCCTGCCTCAGCCTCCAAGTGCTGGGATTATAGGCATGTGCCACCATGCCTGGCTTACCATGCGAGTCTTGATGTCCTAGCTGCTGAGCAAATGATTTCTCAATTGAGAAATAAAGAAAATAACCTCAGGCCCACGTGACTGTCTTGTCTGCTGGCTGGTGGACTTGTGGCCTGACCTATGACCTATCATCCCTGTCATTCACCGGCAGCAGGACAGGTGGCTTTCCTCAGTGGCTCTCTTGTTTAGGGAGAGTGGGTGGGTGACAGGAATGGCATGCCCCAGCCTGCAATGCTGTACAAGCTCCTTGGCACAGTCTGGGTCACATACCTGGTCCAGCCCACGTCGGGTTCCTCCTGCACCTTGGTTTTTTGTATCACCTCAAAGATCCTTACTAGCAATGTACTTTCTTGCTATACATGTTCTCTCTGCCTCTCTATGTATGTATCAGCTTATTTGCCACAAAATTAAAATTTTCACTCCTCTATTAATAAACAAGTAAATATTCTGACCTATTTTTTGGCAGAGCGAAGTTCTGGAATTTCAAATCACTGGGTCCTTCTTTTGTTGTCCTTTTATTGCCCCTGGGAAGAAAGAAAATAGATTATAGCTGGGAAGTAGCAAGAAGCTAGGGAGAAAAAATTAATTAAGTGCATTCATTCATAGGAACAACCACCCAGTCAGATTTAAGTAATTAATGCCTTACACATAATTCTGAATCTCTCCTTGCATTTCCATTGGATGCAAAGAAAAAGTCGTGTTTAAAGTAATGAAATTAATGAATGCTTTTTAAAATGTAAGAGCTATGTTTTACAGGGGGCAGCAGTGTGGGGGTGGAGTTAATGCCCCAGTCAAGATGAGGTCTTGGCTACCTCTTCCTCCTCATCAGGGTGACCTTGATGTTTTCTGTAAGCTCCATGGAGTCCCTATCTGCTCTGTTCAATGAAGACCATCTTACTCTGCCACATGGTGAATTGAGGCTGCTAAGATACTGAAGGGCCAGCGACCGCGAAACAGGAAAGATTCCAGATGTTTTCCTCTATCAGCTGAATCTGGCCAAACTCCTGTTGTCCACATCCTTCCATGGGGGAAGGCATGCTTCTTGGCAAGAGCAGCTCTGATCTAAATAATATGTACCGAACTCCTGTAGAATTTAGGTGCTTTGCTAAGTCACTGTTCATGAGGAGACGGAACTACTTTAAATTGAGTTAATTTATTGTTAAAATTCATTGAGCACTTTCACCACCATAAACCATCATTGTTATTCATCCTGGGTTCATTTAATTAGCCCAGTTTAACACTCTTTCTGCTCAGGCATTTCTGGAGCTTTGCAAATGCTCAAGGGTTAGTAAAGTGAATGTCCCAGACAGCTAGCCCGTTAGCGGATGTCTCTCCACTTGGGCTGCTCTTGCCCTTCTTGGTCCTTGGACATCGTCTGCCTGCTTCACAAGGCCATTAGGGTCCCCTCTCATCTTCCTTTCCCTGGTCACCTGCGCCTCATGCTTTCCTCTACTTCCTCAGGGAAACTCCCTTACCCTCTGCAGTGCTTGGCTAAGCTTTCCTGTTACTTTTAAGTGTAGCTTGCATGCCGATCTTAGGAGACCTTTGAACTTCCAGCTCTGGGAGAGCGTAGATTGCAGATTTGCCTTTCCGGGCCCTGGGTCCATGCCCAGCCCACAGGGGCTCATGGAGATGCTGCAGTGCACACAGGACTCTGGGACCCCAGGGTGAGCCTGACATTGGTGTGCAGCCCAGGGAACCCGATGTGATGTATAAAAATCTCAGTGGCTCCTCACAGATATAAACTGATGTTTTAGAAAATGATGGTATTGTTTAATGATGTCTTCATTACTCATTCCATTTTTGCCTTATTCCTTTCAGAATGATTTTAGGATCGCATTATTTTCTGTTTATTTATGATCCTTTTTCTACCTAGGAAAGCTTGATTCATAAATCTCTATGTGGACCTTGACTTTTCTTCTAGGTCCTGGACATAAAGATTCAACCCGTTCTGGCATTTTCCTGTTGTTGTCCCCCAGCAGGTCCAGACTCTTTCCTTGGGAGCCGTTCCAGTGTTCACCCTGTAGCTTCCAAGTTAGCGCACAGGGCCCTCAGTGTGGCCCTTTTCCTCCGCTTCCCCTCTCTCACCACCGTCTTGCTAATTTGTTACAGATCTCGATGCCAGGACCCCACGTGACTCTCGGCTCCAACCCTTCCTCTCCCACGACCCCACAAGGTCCTCTCAGTCTTAAATTCTCCTTGCAGTGTCTCCAGCCCCTACCTGCTTCCTGCTTCACCAAACTTCTCTAAGAACAGCCTTTCTAATGAGCAGGATTCCTCACTAGCTCTCCATTCCTGCAGGATAAGATGCAAGCTTTAAACCACAATAATTAGCCAAGATTCCCACTTCAGTGGCCTCCCTGCCAGTCCCCCCTACCGGGGCCTTAAGGGCACACTTTATTAATTTATGTATTTTTTGAAGCTCTCATATCATTGATTAGATCATTCCTTCTATTTCCTCTGGATCTTAAAAAATGCTCTCTGTTCTTCAGGGTCAAGTTCAAGTTCCTCTTCCTCATTTGTTCTTCCCTAATGCTTCCTCTGTGAGTCCCTCTAGTATTTTTTTCATACTTCTGGGTTGCTACTCACTCATTTGCTTGTGAATCTGTTTACTCATTCACTCAGCAAGTAACGATTGACCTGTTCTGTCCCAGGCAGCTCTCTCAGTGATAGGAAACAGCCTTTGAAGGAGAAAGCAGGAGTTTACCTCAGGAAGGTTTATCAGGTGGGGGAAGACAGGCCACACGCTACAGTCCCATCATGTTGATGTGTGTGAGCCTGTGTGCGTGTGCGTTCCCCTTGAGTGAGTCCCCTTGGATGGGGGGCAGGTCTTGGGCATCCTTTTCTCTCCCAGGACACCACATACCAGCTTACCCCAGTGTGCTCTCAGGAATGTTTACCCAATAGTGCACAGATATAGATGGGAAATGAATAATCAACATCCCAGCCTGGGCTCATGTACAATAGTGAGCCCTGCACTAAACTGGGCAGAATCCCTAGTATCTGTTACCAGGGGAGTTCCGGTCTGTCCTTGCCCTGTGAAGGAAGCTCTCAGTTTCATTTTACCTTGGGATTATGGGCATCATTTGGCATTATAATGGCATTAACCCCTCCACTTAGGGGGTGGGAAGGATTCTGGACACTTGTGCGACTTCCTCCAGATGCCTCAAGAACCCAGGAGCTGGACAACTCTCTCTGAAGTTTCTAATAGCATTGGCCTTTTTAACTCTAAGCAGAGAACTGAACTTTAATTCTCTTTGGTGTCGCATTCACCGCAAGGCTCGGTAACAACTGGACAGCTCCCCTTCTCAGTGCTGTGCGGCAGGTGAGGAAGCAGGGCCCGAGAGTAGGGGGATGAATGGGTGAGCAGGCTTCTGGGCGGCAGGGCCAGGGTGACATGCCGGCCACCAGGCTCCACTGCACATCTGGCCAGGTGAGCTAGAGGGAGCTGGAGTGGGTGACAGCCCGCTGCTGGCAAGCCAGATGCAACCATCTAAGAAACATGCTAAGGAAGGGCTGGGAGAAGGCGAAGAAAAGGGAGGAGCTCTTCTTCATGCACAGGATTATTCTGCAAAACACTAACAAAGTTGGCAAGTAAATGGCCATCTATCGGCTTGTCTGTTACTTACAAAGAGCAAAGATACTTAGCAAGCTTCCTCCCTGCCAGGTCTCTTTCAATATTTCCTTAGAGTACAGATTCCACAGACCTTTTTTTAAAAATATAAAAAACCCCCAATAAAGACAATTATTAAAGACAATTATTAAAGACTATCAATCATAATAGATCAAAATGGTTTGTTTTGCGTTAAACTGAGATCTGACCTTGGAAGGAGATGCACAACATCCCCGAGTCGGCCACTGCCTGGGGTGACGCACTGCCTACTGCAGTCCACCTAGAGATGCCTCATTTTACATGGCCTCCAACTGTGGGGGCGCAGCTGTCCTTCACGTAGGCTGCTCAGCCCCTCTACACCAAAGAGTGACATGAAACAGCATCTTCAAACTGCTGGTCTATTAGCTCACAACTGACATGTCCTCCAGGGGAGCAACACAGGCGAATCCATTGCACGGAGAAATCCACACGCTCCAGGAGAGATGATGGAAGAGCCCGAGGCACCTGGGGACCCTGAAGCACAGAGTCGGTGAGCCGGCCACCTCTCACTCTGCAGAGATGGAGCCGGTGCAGCCCACAGTCCGGCTCCTCTTTCTGACCACGCTCTCTGCACCTCAGGCATAGTGCTTTGCAGCCATCATTGGTTTCCTTGTCCGCTGTTACACCTTCTTTCTCTATGACCCCTCAGCAAAGTCCACCTGATCCTCCTCTGCATGTTTTCTGGTTTTGTCCCTCCTTGTTGGAACTAACCTCGGGAGACCCACATTCCTTTTCAGGTGGACCTAATAGAGTCTGTTCTATGCAGTACAATCCACTGATACCAGCTGCAGATCTGGACCATGCATGTGACCCTTTTTGCGTCTTAGGAGATGTAATTAAGATCAGGATCTAGAGACAAGCTTATCCTGGATTAAAGTGGATCCTAAATGCAGTGACAGATGCTTTTCTTGGAAAGAGAGGAGGAGAACTCCTGGGAGGGAGGCACAGTGAGAAACCGTGGGAAGACAGGTAGAGACTGGAGTCCCACTGCCCAAGTAAGGGGACTCTTGGAGCCACCAATGGTTGGAAGAGGAGAGGAAAGATCCTCCCAGGGAGCTTTGGGAAGGAGCCTGGGCAGCCTGCACTTTCATTTCGAACTTCTGGGCTCTGGCACTGTGAGGGGAGATATCTCTGTGGCTTAAAGCCAGCCTGGTCATGGCAGTTTATCAGGGCAGACCTGTGAGAAATATACTGAACATCTCACCTGTCCCAAGAGGGAGAACATTAATCAGACCCTTGTACAAACCTGGCCAATTAAAAATACACATAGTCTTGGAAAGAGGAGAAGATGGTCAGATGTTCAAGGGAAGTGAAGCAAGCTTTTCAGGAGGTGACACCCTGTGGAGGCTGGCAGGAACCAAGGGACTGGCCAGAGGGATGGCTTGTGGGGCTGCGGAGCAGAGTGAGGGGTGGGCTGTTCAGAGAATGGTCCATCCCGGCCACTCCTCTAACTTGTCACCTACAAAGGAGGCTGCTCCCATGCAGGTGCCACTGACCAACACAGGGAAGAGGAGCGTCTCTGTGCTTGTGAAAACATTGCTCACGCTGCACTCTCACCCTGCGTTTGGATTTTGCTAGATGCTTCACATTCTGTACGCTCAGCATGGGCTTGCAAAAGCTGCTGAGAAATTACACAAATTGCTCTTACTCACAAGTCTCGTTCAAGGATTTTTAACTCTAAGATCATGAATGATAATAAAGCATGACACTACACTTAGAGTCGTAATTGGAACAGCCAAATATTTATATAGAATCCACAACTGGCTGGTCATTGTTTGGCATTTCACGCATATTAACCCATCTAGTCCTAGGAGCAACACAGCAAGGTCAGTCTTACCCTCTTCAACTTTGTTGAATTTCCCTTCCTTCCTT